TGGGGGGGGGGGGGGGGCTTTGGGGTCCCCCTTAAAATGCCTACCAGACCTAAGTGTCTGGTATGAATTTGTAGGGGAATCCACACATTTATTTTTTTACATTGGGGGTCCTCTCTAACATTCCTACCAGACCTAAAGGGTCTGGTATGAATTGGGAGGAGACCCCACACAGTTTTTTGGGTTTTTCTTTTTACACTGACATTTTCATTCTGTTCGCTACCTCTAATGTAGTGAACAGAATGACCGAGCCCAATGCTGCTCGGCTGCATTCGGCTCTTCACTCTCTGCTGTTTGGCCCCTTTGAGAATAGGGGTGAACAGCAGAGAAAGAACTTCCAAACGTTCGCCTCAGCCGATGCAGATGTTGCATCGGCTGAGGCGTACAAGTTCTTGAACAGCCTCAGCAAGTTCGGCTTAGTCGAAGGGAGGTGAAGTGGGCCGAATGCAGCCAATGTACAGCTAAAAATAGCCATACAGGGCTGCAGTGAATAGCCGAACAGGCTTCGGCTCCCTTCACTTCAGTTTTGTTATTCATTTGGCTGCCTTCGGAAGCTTAGTGAATAACCCCCTAAATAAAAAAAGTGATTTTCCTTCTGCAGTACTTTCCCTTAGGAACTGTCCCCCCGCAGTACTTCTTCTCTGCCACTAGATGTCCTCAGTTTCCAGGTTTAATGACATATCATGAATCAAGTCACTTCCACTTAACCTAAGCTTTTATGGACCCGCCCCCAGTCTGTGATTGAACAGTGAAGGAGCAGCAGCACAGTGATGAGCTCCTCTCTCTGCTTTCTCCTTCTATTGGCATGCTTCATGTGAGCACATGAACTGATTGTCTCTTTGTTCTGCTTCCCCCTCGCCTAACTCTGCTGCACAAAGACTGCAAGAGGCGAATATATCAGGTCATATTGAAGCACTTACACTGCTTACATTTAAAATGTTTATTTCTGCTCCTTTTTTTGTTTAAAAATATTTTTTTTTCTCTTAACTGCTGCAGCTTTGTTTTGATAGCACCGTACACTGTTTGACTTATAATTATATTCCTTTCAGGAATATAATTTCATGTAAATATAATAATATATGTAATTCTCTTTCTGATCAGTGTATCTTAAATGATGTCCCAAAATGCATTCTTTCCATTTGTGTAGAAAATTAATTGTTTTCCCTGTGGAAGAATATATTAGCCCGCAGGCGGCCTTTATAAGCTTGCTGTAACTTTTAGCGCAGCTCTTAGCAGAAGGAATGTACAGCTGATGGAATGGTATTAGGGGCCAGGTTGGAGAAAGTCGGCTCCTCTTTGATGATACTCATGTTGAAGCTAGCTGTTATCGGGTGCAGACTTACAGGAAAACTCAGGCCGGTGATGACAAGTAGCAATGTCGGGCATTTGGGCAGGATATAGCGGCGTACATTACCATAGGAATTTGTGCTATAACGGTCGGTGAGCTTGCTTTGGTTACCGTCCTCTATACAGAAATACAACATTAAAAAAAGAAAATCGACTTTCAGCACAGGGGGGATGGAAAAACAACCTCAAGGATTATAGCTGCCGTGCTGTTACAAATCCGACTCTGCATAGGAGCCGTCCAGATATATCTGTAAGCACTTTAGATCAGGGGCGTCCCGAGGCCGGGTGTCACCCGGAGCGGATACCGGGTGACACCCCGCCATGACATCATCGCCCATGCGTGTGATGTCACCTCGCTCGTGCGCCATTACGTCATTGTGCATGCACCGCCATCTTTTTTATACCTGCCGGCGGCCATCTTGGTGACGTTCAACCGGCGGGATAAGGTATGCAGCGTGGTCCCCTCCCCTCTCTCCTGCAGCTGTCAAGCTCTCGGTCCATGACTGAGTGCCTGACTTTTCAGAGGGGGTGACACCAAAATGACTGTCAGTCCTTTTGTGTCACCCCTCCAATGGTGTCACCCGGGTGCGGGCCGCACCCCCCTTGTGACGCCACTGCTTTAGAGATAGATGTTTGTTACCAAATTAATGAGAGGATTCATACAAATTTTAAAGCAGAACTCCGGGAAAATTAAATGTAACCCTTGCAGTTGGGCTACACCGGCACTGCATGGGTTAAGTGCTTGTTTTGTCTAGGGAGCTAAAATAGTTCTACTTACCCGAACCACAATACGGGCTTCCTCTTACACCGGTCCCTTCAGCCTCGCTCTCCCTCCACTCCAGCTCTCCAAGGTCCTGTGAGTCTCCATGTTCTATACCGTGTGTAGGATGTGAGGATGCTGAGGGACATTCCATCGCTGGTGCAGAAGAAGAGACTGGCTGAATGGAATTTTCAGAATGTTTTTATAGATATGATGTTAAGTTGTTTTTTCATTTCTTCCAAGCATCCCTGTTGAAGCTTTGGTATCGTGAGTTGGAGGAGCCCCTTATCCCGCAGCAGTTCTACAAACAGTGCATCACCAACTATGAAAACCCTGACGCAGCAGTGTCTGTCGTTAAGCAGCTTCCGGAACTGAACCGGCTGGTGCTGTGTTACCTCATCCACTTCCTCCAGGTGGGTTAGTGCATTAGGGACAGATGGACAGTGTTATACAGAAAGACCGTAACTTGTTACTGACCATTTCTTGCACCACTTTGAGTACATAGACCTGAGTGATCAGAGCAGGGTTGGGCAAACTCCGGCCCGGCTCCAGTTATGGCGAAACTACAAACGTCATCATGCCTGTGGCTGTCAGTCTTACAATGCCTAACGGGGTTTGTTCTTGCACCACAGCTGGAGGGCCGGGGTTGGCCTACCCCTGGATTGATGGGTACCTCTGGCGTGTATTGCTCATACTGTCCAAACACTCCCGGAGAGGCTGAATGATTGGCTTTATTTCACATTGATTCCCTTTAAATCAACATGGAGTTCAGTGTCTACGGTTCTGCAGTCTACAGAGGGAAACATTCAACCTTTCCTTTGCAGCACAGCGGAGCAATTTATATATGAGCGCGGAGAGCCCAACATTTCATAGACACAGCTGCGTTCTGTAGGCACACCTTTCACCTATGGGAGGGGTAGGCAATCTCAACACTCCAGCTTTTGTAGAACTACAAGTCCCATGTTGATTACAAGCCCCTGAAAGCCACAGGCATGACTCCCAGACAGGGTCGTCCCTATAATGAGGCAGTCTGATTCTGTTGCCTTGGGCGGCATCTCTTAGGGTCATGTGGGAGGGCTGCAGGCTGAGTGACATGGCCGCTCTGCTGCACAATATTTGCAGTGTGCCTTCTGCCCCCTTTCCAGCCTGATGAGACGAGTAAGGGCCATACACATCTAACTGCCCAGCTCTTAGCAACCTGGGTAGCTCTGACCAGCATCCTGCCCAGTGATGTCACTGGTTGCCAGGAACTGTGGGGACGCTGGCCAGAGCGGAGGCATCACTCTCCACCAGCGATCCCCTACCTCACCACTGAGTGCATGCACCCCCACCCCTATGCCCCCAACCCCGTCTCGGGTGGCAAAATGGACCAGGACACCTCTGCTTCCAGAGGCAGTGGCATGATGGGATTTATAATTTCACCACAGCGGGAGGTGCCAAGGTTGACTACCCCAAGCAGATTTGGAACATTTTTCCATTTGACTTTAAAGGGAACCTTCAGGAGAAAAAAAGACAAAAACTTGCTGCAGTCCTAAAGTATAGGCAGCTGGAGGTGCCTGTACATAACCTCGCTCTCCGCATGCTTGTTCCAGGTCAGTGGCTTAAGACGACAGAAGGACGTCTGCAATGGCAGCCTCCATAATCCAGAAAAGCATTTTCTTTCTCTTTTAATTGCTGCATCCAAACAGGATCTAGAAGTGAAAGGGATATGTGTGTGTAAATCATGTACACCAATACACCCACATGAGGCTAGTTCAGGGGTGGCCAACTCTGGCCCTCCAGCTGTTGTGGAACTGCAAATCCTGACGGTTACAGGCAGGACTCCCAGAGGCAGGAGCATATTGGGATTTGTAGTTAAACCACAGCTGGAGGGCTGGAGTTGCCCACCCCTGGGCAAGTTCATGGGCCTTCCATTTTTCATGGTCACTGTTTGAGCCCTTCATGGCCACAACACGAGTACAAATGTAACATGGCCCCTGACTTGAGAATGTTAATAAACATTGCAGCATAGAACTAGCAATGTGCAACTGTGTGTGTTCCTAGTCCTCAGACCCGCTGCCAATCAGAAAGGTGGGTTGTAGCGTTATTCTCAAGTTACCTGGCACATGCCAGCACTGCTAAACTTGGCCTGGCCACAAAAAAACTGTGGTCACAAAAGGGTTAAAGGTTAAGTTTACCTTTCCATCCTTGCCTGAACCACGGGGTTCTCCTCCCCGCAGGTTGGTGTACATTTTTTTATTCAGCATGGCTGTATATGGCATCATCCTTTGACAGGATCTGTGAATGGAGAAAGTACAAGTCCCATCAGCCACCTCAGCAGAGGGACTTGCACTTCTGAAAGGAATACAATTGCAGCGATGTCACTTGTAGTTCATTCGTTCTCCCTCCTGTCCATGTTACTGAATATCCATACCAAGGTACGGACATAGATGGGAGGAACAGTCTGCAGGAGTCCAATTAGTTGATCTTTCTTAAACAGAGGGATGCCAGGTGGGTGAAGCTCAGCCCTACAGTCAGGGATGTCAAGCCCATAATGACAAAGTGAAACCTGGATCGGGGGGGCACATAGTGGAGAAAGAGCTGGTCCAGCACTGACAGAAATTGGACACATCCAGAAGAGGAGAGGGCTTTGCCGTGCGAGGAGGGGAGGGGGCTGTGCTAACTGATTGACTCTTCTGGAGTAGTCGGAATTTCTATCAATTTCAAAGGCAAACAATAATTGATGGAAAGGAAACATACTATAAGTATAGATTTAAAATACTTAATTTTGGCCCCTTTCACACGGGCAATCCGATCAGGTCCACTTGTTGGTTTTTGAAGGGGACTGGATCGGATGGGCAGCCGTTTTTAAATGGATGAGCGTCAGTTTACACCTGGCTACCCCCGGCTGTGGCCAAGTCCAGAAAAACAACCTGATCAGAGTTCTGTTTCACCGGACCTGATTTTGCTGGATTTGGGGTAATGTGATGTAAATGGGCACATGTTCGTTTACTTCCAATTCCCCATAGACTGACATGTGTTCTGGTAATTGCAGTTTCTTTCTCCATCACAAGAGGTAAAAACTGGATGGACACGAATGTCACAGTGTTGACATATGATCCGTACTTGTACAATCAGGAGTGCACAGATCAGACGGTGTGAAAGTGGCCTTTGCTGTGCTTTTTCCTGCAATTTTGTTAGGTTGGTGACAGGGTCTCCATAACAATTGTCTCTAGAAAGCCCTGTATTCTTTGTCTATCATGAGGTTTACATCTCCCCTTAACTGTTGTATAATGAATGGTTGCATTCTAAACATTGAAGTCTTACCTGTTTATTTGTTACCCACGCAGATCTTCTCTCAGCCTTCCAAAGTGGGCACCACCAAGATGGACGTTAACAACCTAGCCATGGTCATGGCACCCAATTGTCTGCGCTGCCAGTCAGATGAGCCCAGGATCATCTTCGAGAACACCAGGAAAGAGATGTCATTCATCAGAATGTTGATCGTCCACCTGGACACAAGCTTCGTCCAGGGCTTAGTCTGAGAACAAGAGATGCCGCTGCCACCTTGTCTTTCGGTCTGGCCTACCTGTGTATATAATTGTGCATTATTTCTTCACCCCCGAGAGTTGCAGGGTGCGGTCCCTCCAGGGGTTAAAAGATGTCCCATGTACAGAATCTTCTCAGGATACTTCTAGCACTTTCTGAAAGCAGTTAAGCTGGGCTGTCGTTGTGGCCGTAGACGCCAAAGGCGCTGGCATAACCACCGGCCTTCTATTGTCGTCAGAGGTGCTCTGTGAAACTGGTTTAATTGTATCTAATCTTCATTACTGTGAATTAACATAATACCATCTTCTTTTCCTGCCTTTATCAAGATTTCATTCTTAACCCAGTGCCATCTTATGTGAGATGTGTGAAAAAAAAAATTAATGAAAGCTTTTATTTATATGTTGCACCCTCTGGGGGGACCACACCTCTTAATATATATGTATTTTTTTATCCCCGGTGTTTACTTTTTATGCTTTAATTTTAATGCCAGAACTCACGGTGTCCCCATTGTGAACCATGTTCCTTACTCTGTGGTATGTCAAGCCTTATTGTCCAATAACTTATTCAGTGCCGTGTCACCCGTGGTCGACATAAACTTGGGTAACGTTTACAAATTTAATTTTATAGTGGATCCCTTTCTGAACATTGAAATGTATTGATCTGTGTTAGATTTCAGCAGACGCCTTAAAATTCACTCTGAGAAAGCTGACCCCTGCATTGAACCCTCCATGTAATAAAACACCCTTCTTTATTAGCAGCAAGGATAGATTGGCTCAGTGATGCCAATAGAGGACTAAAAAACAGCTTCACCAATATACTTCTTTCTAGACAGGAAATGATCCCACCCTACCTCGGCCTTCCCCAGGGGTTTGGATTTGTCTAATGATTATGGTACCATAATCATGTCTATAATCATTCTGGATGTGGCAGGCCAGCCAACTTGGCCAGTGGCCTAAATTTCATATATCTACTAGAGCAGAGGTAGCCAAACTCCGGCCCTCCAGCTGTGGTGAAACTACAAATCCCATGATGCATCTCTCTCCGGGAGTCATGTCTGTGGCTGTGAGAATCTTGGGATTTGTAGTTCCTCCACAGCTGGAGGGCCAGAGTTTGGCTACCCCTGTACTAGAGGGTAAATGATGCATATTCCCTCGCACCACACCCTGTATCCGGGCCCTACCTTCATAGCAACGTACCGCTGGTGACAACAGTAGCTTGAAATGTAGGGCCTGTGAATGGGTGAAATTGGACATTTTGTAGCCCAGAATTGGGAGATGGGATGTTCTCTCCATGTTGCTATACAGAGGAGTCCTAAAGCTTCACATTTCAGTTAAAGTCGACTTCCCATTTAAATTATTTTTATCAATAAGAAGTAATCATTTTTTGGGAACTTAATTTGCATAAATGAGTCCAAGCTTTTGAATTGCTTAATAGGAGCCTCTATCTTTCCAATCAAAGCCTTTATTTAAAAAAAAGAACCATCAAAAATCTGTTCACAAGCCTAGCTATGTACCATAATAATGGAATTCAGTGCCTCTTGTAGCAGGAATGGGTGGCAGGATGTTGCAGTTGCATGCTGCCCATTTGGGGGATTGTTTTCCTCTAGCAAAGTACAAAGCTCTTTCCTGTTTCCTGTTGTAGAACCCGGCTTTGTCAGAACGCCCCCTGCCTATTTCAAAACAAGTAGAAGTCCTCACCACAATGGTCCAGTATTTTGCTGAGGTCATGTGACTGAACTGGCAAATCTTAATTAGACATACTGATCACACTTGTGTCTTTTCTGGCTGTCAGGGGTTAGTGGTGGTGGGGTTTCTGTAGCTCAGCCATTTCCCTTTACATGGAAAAGGTCTCATTTACTATGTGTCGGAGGTAGCCACTCTCCATAATGTCTATTTCCACCAATCAGATTCTTCTCTTCATAGTCTTGCAATCCCGTCATGACAGCTAAAAGCCGATTGGTTGCTGTTTTGGCAATATGAGAAACTTTTAGAAATGAGGGTCACGTTTATCATTTTTGATGAATCTACAGGACAGCGGTCTTATTCATTTGGGGACAGAGCAAAGTAGAGTAACCCATGGCCACCCAACGCCTATACTGTATATCATTCACCAATATACTCGGTAAACCCCAAATCTTGTACTGTGGGTTACAGTATGAGGCACATCCTTGTATCCTTGGCTCTTTTTTGTTGAGTAATCCCAAAAAATCTAACAGAAAGCCTATGAAGAAAATGTTTACGGTTTGTTACAAAAATTGTATGTATATAAAATATATATATTTATTGACCTGTATATACACTAAATATGCAAAAGACTGCATATTGCTGCCACAAGACCCTGTCATCTCTCCGGCTCAACCAATCAGGTGATGATTAGGGCATTGGGGCGGCCTAAGCCTTGATGATGTGGGAATATGTAAAGCAGGCCAAGGATTCTGGGGTTAGATGACTTCTGCCAAAAGTACTAGTACAGTGGCTAAAACTGCATGCTGGTAGCTGTCATTCAACACAAGTCCATGATATTCACACCTTCAAGGGACTCTGTTACTTTGTCCATATAGTCTCTTTCAACCCTACTCACTGACCGTCTTGTATGCTCCTTTGCTGCATTCCCCCACAGCTATGTTCCTCCTATGTCCATTACCCATTGTAAACTCCATGTCTGATGATGTTTGAGCTTACTTAGGGTTGGTGACCTCCACATGTGACAGTCTTCTTGTCCTGACCTGCTCATGTGACAGTGTTTGGGACTGGTGATTTGTTGCCAGTCCTGAGCACTGCATCATGGAAGGAAGTCACATGCTCTCCCATACTCTTAAAGCACAGAGTACCTTGCTGCATTGCTGTGGAGTCATGGAAGGTGCTGGATCATGAGGAAGGTCAGCATAGGTTGGTCAGGGAATGGGTTTTAAGAAAAAAACAGCTACTTTGCCAAGTGACATCATCTCTTTTAGTTTACTACTAAGGTTTTGAGTTAATTCTAGTTCAAGATGGGATTGACCCCTTAGGGCATGTATTCCAGGTATGAATGACTACTGGTGGGTCAAGTAAAGGAGTCTCATTTCTCCTGATACATTCTCTGTAATGTAAATACAGCAAAGTCCCTCTGTGACCACAATACACAATACTAGTAATGGCTGTAGAAGATGGTTTGCGATCCCCCAACAGATTACAAGAAGCTCCTTGCAATGGCCTCTGCAGATCATCATCCTCAGAAATGATAGTCCGAAGATCTTTTCTGTAGAGTTCCCAATAAATATAGCAAAGCCGTGTCCGAATCAACCCAGCAGCATCTACACAAGCCTGAAACACCAGTCTGGTCTGACTAACTCTATAATAGTAAAGAACAAAAATGTACAGAGTATAACAGACGGCACATCTAAAAAATCATCCCAAGTATCCTATAATTAGGCAAACCAAAAAGTTTGGGTACCTGAGAACCAATGAGGATAGACATATGGGAAATTACTGCTGACTTGAGTCATTGGTCCAGAATGAGACTGCAGGATGGAAGGAAAGACTTTACTGTCTGCATGCTCGTTCCAGGTAACTGTCTTGGCAGTTAAAGCGATCCTGTTGCCAATGTCAATTTTAAGATAAAGCTGTTATGTAAAAGAAAATGTAAATGGCTCTCCCGCCGCCCGTGCCTCAGAATGCCACACCATTTCTGCGGGATCATCCAGGAGACTTCCGGGAGTGTCAATCACTTGTGTCTCCTGCAGCTCTGGTTCATCCTGCCGACCTCTTTGTCACTACTGTACCCAGAGGAGAAGTTAGTCATTCTGTCACCTGGGGCAAAGGCTCAGAGTTGCTCCCCCTTCAAAGGGAGAAATTCTCCATCCACACACCCAGTGGCGCCCCTCCTAAAGCGGCACCAGGGGCACATGCCCCCCAGCCCCCCTTAGCTTCGGCTCTGACTGTACCCGATATTGACATGGAAGTTGGCGGGAGGAACTATTAAATGCTGTGTGGGACCCAGAAGATCGCCACTCATGGAAGTGTTGTTTTCCAGCAGACCCTGGAGGTCAATTGCTCAGGAATGGGACAGCAGGAGAGGTCATTCTTTACATGTTTCTTCTAAGGTAACATTTATATGTTAAAATTGATTTTGGCAAGAGGGTCACATTAAGCCGAGGTCAGCAAAAGAGCCCACCAGTATGGGTTTGCAAAAAATCATGAGCAATGGAAACTTCCATGATCCCACCTCTACAAGTTCATTTTAGTGCCACATAGAGGTAACTGAACTTCTAAAACCAGAGGACTTCCTCAACCATGGACAGGCTTTGCCCCACTGCCTGCTTGTTGAGGAAGTGGAAGTACCAGCATACCCCCCTGTGTGACTGGACCTCCAATGCCTCTACCCCCAGCCAGGACCTGCCTACACAGAGCCATCTGTCACACAGTCTGAACGGTCTACAGTCCAAAATCTGTAACTTTCTGTCCTTGGAGTACCCTGATATTCTGTATGGTGAGGGTGTGTAGAGAACAGTTTTTGTTTTTGTTGAAAAAGAAGATAAAATGTAACTACTGTGATCACAAAAGTTTGCCTGTTGTAAAGATACAAAGCACTGTGTTTTCTCTGATATCGTTGTGCTGTTTGTTGTGAGGAATGCCCTTTATGAATCCTTTTATGTTTCACAAAGCCAAAATGCTTCCGGGGGAGACTGCAGATTTGCCTTCTGTGTTTGTTTTGTTTTTTTAATTCAGCTGAAGCTGGAAATCAATAAAAGGATCATTTGCATTTTTATTTTAGAAATCATAGTCTATGTTCTGCTATGTTTTTCTTTTGCGTGGAAATTATTTAAAGAATGCTCGGCTTTAATACTGTATGTAAGGAAGGTAACATTCTTGGAAGGGGGTACAAACCTTAAAGCAGGATTTCAGGCAAACTGCTGAAAGAACTACTCAGATTACAAATTAACCCTTGCAGTGGGGCTACTCCAGCATGGCAATGGTTAAGTGCTCGTTTTGGTCTAGAGTCTCTCTTTTGTTTCTCTCTCTTTCGTCTCTCTCTCTCGTCCCTCTCTCTCTCTTGTCTCTCTCTCGTCCCTCTCTCTTTCGTCTCTCTCTCTCTTTCGTCTCTCTCTCTCTTTCGTCTCTCTCTCTCTTTCTTTCGTCTCTCGATATATATTTTCACCTGATCCTCGGTCCTGGGGCAGTGACCGCTCATCTCTCTTCCCCTCTGCTCTGGCTACAGAATGTCCCTCGGCATCCTCACATCCAAGTCAAGTCAATGGACTTGTGCTTAAAAAAGAGGTGTCTGCAGGGCTTGGACCACCAGAGCCCAGGGGAGAAGAGGCTGCAGGGATCATCAGTCTAACAGCCAGGCTGGATCAAGGATCAGGTGAGTATATCTTTTAATTTTAGAGCCTAGACCAAAACAAGGATTTAACACATGCAGTGCAGGGGTAGCCCCACTGCAAGGGTTAATTTGTCATTTGCCC